ACATCAGGGGGGGAACAACTAATGGGGACAATAGTATCATACTGCTCTGGTACACCATTAACAAGGCGCAGAACGCGCCGACAGTTGGTGATGGAGGAGCTGATAGTCAGTGACGAGTGAGCCGATAGTCGGTGACAGGGGAGACGATAGTCAGTGACGGGTGAGCTAACATATATAAGCTGGGCGGCGAAGGTCTTGAGTTGTTTGCAGTAGGCTCTCACACTAGAAAAATTCTCCGAACGGGAGTTGGAAAACTGATTTTCGAAATGCAACACCCGAGAATTTTTGTTATCTTCGAAGATGTCCTCTAGGCTATCCCAAGCTTGTTGTGCTGTTGAGTTGGGTTTGAGAATGTCGCGGGAGATTGTGTTGTAGATCCATTGAAGGACAATGGCACCTATGCGATTCTAAAGAGCCCCAGCGTTGGCTTCGACTTTTTTCAGAGGCCTGAAGTTGCTCTGGAGTGGGAGAAGGGGTAGAAGAAGCGGGAGCATTACCGGGAGATTCAAGGATGTGGTCAAAAACTTGTATGCGCAAGCCGTGATTTTAAACAACTCCGTCCATGAAGAGTATTCAACGATTTCCATATCAAGAGCAAGGGGAATAAAAATTTCAATGTTCTTATGGTGAGAGATGGGTGGAAAGAGGGGATTTGGGTGAAGGGGAAGCCATAGTCGACAAGAAGGATCATAAAAAGCTGTTCATGCCAAATTGAAATATTGAATTTAATTCCTTGAGTTTTCTCATTATCTTTGGTCCTTAAATAAAAACTACAATTGGAATGAAGCAGGCTTGTAATCTACCTAGGCTATTATATAATTGACAATTCTATCCGGTCAGACCACTATTCTATCTTGTACACTATTTATGAATTCATCCATGGACACAAATAAATATATACAAAAATAATGAATGTAGAAATAGTGTCAAGCACCTTGTGGTTCGATGACATCATTGTGCCTCTCCCAAGGAGGAGGTCACAGGTTCGAAATCTATCCCAGTCAAGGATGTTGGCATTTAAAATGGAGTATTGAATAAATACTATAAAGAGAGACTACAAAGTCCAACAAAAAATGAATGTAGAAATAGTAATGACTAATTGTCACACATGCAACATAAATAATACAAATGTCGCTATTAGATATTAGGAACCTAAGAGCCATTACACAAATAAAATTTACCTTATAAAGTTTCTTAGGAGCTCAAGTTGTTTTCTACGTGATTAGTGACTATCTTTTAAAACATTTTGATAATAAGGAAAATGATACTCCCTCCATATTTTTTTTGTTTGCTACAATAGGTGTTGGCACATTTCTTAAGAGTCAAATAGTAGGGGTAATGAATAGTGTAGAAAAAGTAGGAGAGATGGTGGGAAAATATGAAATAGAAGATAAAAAGTAAAAAAAGTAAGGGTAGTTGAGTATTTTTAAAGGAAAAACTTAGAAAGTGTAGGAAAATTTTGAATACATCCAAAAAAGGAAAGTGTTGCAAACAAAAAAATACGGAGGGAGTAACACCGCATTCTCGAGAACCCCGGAATAGCTGAGCATTGATCCGAGCGATTGTAAATTGAATTAGGACATTGATTATAAAAAAGAATCTACGAATAACAAAATGAAATGTATGTTTTCAATTGTAATCGTGCAGACACAATGACAATTTGGCAAATACGTAGTATAGGTGAACATTATTATGCATGACTTCATAAAAAGATTGCAACAACATTACGGAGTATTTTTAAAAAGAGAAAATGATCAAACAAGACCTTCTAATATTATGAAATCGTCACATAAGGCTATGTATTCAATAAAGTGTCATATAAATACGTCTACTTATAAAAAACATTCGGATGACTCCTAATGACCCGTTGACAACCTTTTAATCCCGATTTTAGCTTACTTGTCAATTTGTTTGACTTGTATTTCAATCAATCTTAGTAAATATTCGACGTGTACCGTATAATCTATTATAAAAAGATGGTTTTAAGCACACTAAAATCGCGATTAGGAGGTTGTAACTAGGTCGTTAGGACTTATTAGATTGTTTTTACAAGTAGAAGCATTTATATGACACTTTATTGAGTACATGACCTTATGTGACGATCTCATAACAGTAGAAGGCTTTATTTGACCCTTTTCTCTTTTAAAAACGCGATTTCACTTTTCACGAATGTACTGGGCCGTTTATATTCATTGGGCCATCTTAGACATTATTACTTTTAGTATGATCAAATTAATGATGTTTATCGAATGTGTTTTTTGTATGTTATTGGGCGCGTGCAGGCCCAATTCCATTTTCTTATCTTTTGCTCTTAGAACTAGGGTTTCAGACTTTATATACTCTTCTGCAAACAAAGGTTTTCGGCTGGCAGCACGAGTCTGGTAGAGAGGGAGAGATCGAAGGAGAGGGAGCGACACTATGAAGACTATACTTTCTTCAGAGACGATGGACATCCCGGAAGGGGTGAAAATCAAGGTGCACGCAAAGCAAATCGAGGTCGAGGGTCCTAGAGGCAAGCTCTCCCGGAACTTCAAGCACCTCAATCTCGATTTCCAGCTCATCAAGGATGAGGAAACCGGAAAGCTCAAGCTTAAGGTGGACGCCTGGTTCGGATCACGGAAGAGCACCGCCGCAATCCGCACCGCCCTCAGCCACGTCGACAACCTTATCACCGGTGTTACCAAGGGCTTCCGCTACAAGATGCGCTTTGTCTACGCTCACTTTCCCATTAATGCCTCTATCACCAACGCTAACAAGGCCATTGAGATCCGTAACTTTCTGGGCGAGAAGAAGGTAATCATTTCTATAAATCTCTGCAGTAGCGTTATATATTTCTCTTTGTTTGACCTGTCACGATGTGGATAAATGCTCAAGAACATAGTTTTAGCGATCTTGGTTATTGAGTTATGATCTTTTAGATATCATCTAATTCATTGAATGAAGTTTTGTTAACTCAGTCCTTTTGATTCGCTTTGCAGATTAAACTCCATAATTGATTGTTTGATATAGTCCATCACTTAGTTAATATTGTGTTTTTGTGAATTAGTTGTGGCTTTCGCATGTCACTTGTTCTTATGGCCTGTTTTGATTAATTTGCTGCATGATCCGGGAATAGGTATATTGACTTGCTAATTGGCTAATGTTTATATGCTATTTTGTATAGATACTTGGTTTTCCTTACTTATTATGACATAAGTAGAGCTGTTTGAAGAAGGTTTATTTGCCTAAAGTTTGCTCTGTTTTATTTCAACTTTATTCTGTAAGTGGGATTCATGTATAGTCACGTTTCAAGCAGGATTAATTAAGGGATGCTTTTCGCTTTTATAGTTTGCAAAATCTTGTACATTCATGTCGTTGCCATAGAACATGGTTACATGGTGAGCCTTACTCCAACCAGACTTTCTATTTTGGAGGGAGGATGCCATAGTGAAATAGACTGTCTCAGTTGATGTCTCTAATTTTACCAGTAGAATTACCATTGCAGTGTTTTGTTTGACCAAGTATTCATGTCTTGCCCTTGTACTGCTCATACCGAATCTTCTGTGAATTATATATACAATTTTGTTCATAGTTCATATGGTATCAAGTCATTTGACATTTACTTTGTTCATTACTTCAGGTTAGAAAGGTGGACATGCTTGATGGGGTTACAGTTCTTCGCTCCGAGAAAGTAAAGGACGAATTGGTTTTGGATGGTAATGACATTGAGCTTGTGTCACGGTCATGTGCACTTATTAACCAGGTGAAATACCCTCTTATGTCAGAATTTCATGATGTTGCTAAAGGTATTACCTTAGTTCTTGTCTATAAGATTTTGTCACTGATTGTGATTTTTATCTCTGCAGAAATGCCATGTCAAGAAGAAGGATATCAGGAAGTTTCTTGATGGTATCTACGTCAGTGAAAAAGGCAAAATTGAAGAGGAAAACTAAGCCCCTCATAGTCTTCCAAATTTTCCATTTAGCTTCTCATTTTTAATATTTTCTTGTCTCTTTTAGACTTGTTATGGATTTATCCAAAGATTTTGGGGTTTCAAGCAATGACGTGTACTATTTATTAAGTTTATCATTTTGTGTGGTTATTAAATCCTACTAGTCTTATGGTGATGACTTATTTTTGTCCCAATTTGTACAAGTGTACAGCTAATGGTCGTCCACTCAGGCCCTTGTCTGGATTCAATTCTTCACAATCAGATCGCAATGGCTCATATTTTAGAAGTACAGCGAAGGGTTGTGTTACTTTTGGATCTGAATTTCAGACCCAAACCAGATATAGCCTTGTGTTTAAGGATGTTTTAACTTGGACTGAAATTGGTTGGTCTATTTTGAATCGGTCTGGTCTGGTCTAATAAATGTTTGGTCTTTGAGTATTTTCTTTTGAATCGGTCTGGTAAATGTTTGGTCTGGTAAATGTTTGGTCTTTGAGTATTTTCTAACTATAGAAGTTTGGTTTAAATTGGGCTAGGCTGGTTTGTTCAATTCTAGTCTCAAAATTGAAATTATCTGAAAATCATCTCAATTTTATAACTATACTTTAATCTCAATTTTATCTGATTTGACCTAGGGTTCTTCTGAAGGGCATTGTACTTCTAAAAAACGCTGGCTACTCGACCTATAGATGAGGATTCCTAACAAAAGCCTGGAAAGTTTCAATTTTCAAGTGTTGAAAAGTATTTTCTCCCCCTCTAAGTTGTCACCATGGTTATTGATATTTTAACATTTGTGCAATTTGCAAGTCACCTAAATAATTCATGTGCACTTGGACAAGTCCACAAGTCTCTAATTAGGCAGACAAATAGATAATACATTTTTTGTGGTCTTGGGTTGTAGAGCACAAGTCTTTCACGTCTATTAGCACGAGTTGTCTGTGTCTACTACACATTTGTGTAGCGACGTAGCGTGACTGGTTAATGGTACTCTTTACATTCCAATTCTGTCTTCCAATGTTAAAAAAATGAATTTATATGTTTATTTTAAAAAACAGGGAATAATAATATAACTGCGCAATCTTTTTTCTAGAGAAATAGGAATAAAGTTTGGTGTATCCTAACAATAAAATTGGAAGAAATTTACATGAAACATTATTTTGTAGGTGCCAACAAGTTAGAGCCACAAACGTCTAATATTTAGGTGACAATGACTGAGCTTCAATAGAGAATTGGGCAAAACGTTATGCGGGATTGATTCATGTAATGCAGGGCCATGTGCACCCAAAGATTCAATGGTCGGTCACATTTGATTTGAGTCTTGGTGGGTCATTTTTGTTTTTCTGGTTTGCCTTCTTATTATCATCAAGCTCACTTCCTTCTTCCCATTAATGGAGTCCATCACCTTACTCCTTTTACTGCTTACTCTTACACTCCCAAGTTCAGTTTTCTCAAATGGAAACATTGGACCAATGATCAATGTATCCAAACACATCTCCTACCCAGATTTCAGGATCAACCAGCAGCAGCAACATGTCACTCTTCTGGGAAGTTCATCCATTTCACCTGATAAGTCTTGCCTCCAGATTCCGAAACCCTCCTCTGATCTCAAGCACTTAGCAGGCCGGGCAATCCATTCGGCGCCTTTCCGACTCTTTGATCCGCCCACTCGAACTCCTGCTTCTTTCCACACCTCATTCTCGTTCCAGTTCCAATCCCCCTCAGAGAACTTGTCATCATCCCCACATGGTGGTCATGGTTTGACTTTCATCATTGTTCCCGATGAGTTTACTGTCGGCCGGTCCGGTCCGTGGCTCGGCATGCTCAACGACGTCTGTGATGACAACTACAAGTCTGTGGCGGTTGAGTTCGACACCCGAATGAACCCGGAATTCGGAGACCCGAGTGATAACCATGTCGGTATTAACCTCGGAAGCATTGTTTCTGTCACGACTGTTAACGCGTCCGATGTCGGGGTTGTTCTCGGGGATGGTTCCGTTCACCGGACTTGGATATCTTATGATGGTCAGCTCCGGTTCATCGATATCCGGCTCGGGTTGGACCGCAACGGGTATCCTTCTAAGCCGGTTTATTCAGGTTCTCTTGACCTTTCTCCTTACCTAAATGAATACATGTTCGTCGGCTTCTCTGCTTCCACCGGAAACCATACCCAAATCCACAACGTCATGTCCTGGAACTTCTCGTCAACCAGCCACGCTTCTCTTCGGGTTCCTTCATCCGAAACATGTGAGAATAGATTATTAATACACCAAAGAAGCAAAAACATAGAAGAGGAACAAGTGGCGAAATTGCACGAAAGAACTCCGACCAGTTTCTTGATTTTCTTGGCTGTGCTTATTCTTATGGTTGTGGTTTTACTCAATCTTTACTTCGGCGGTGGTCGGAAAGCCATTAACGAGTCCAGTGAAGTTCTGGGTAAGCCGGAGAAGCAGAAATTGGGTCCGCCAAACAAGGCTCGCCGGTTCACGTTGACGGAAATCTCCTCGGCGACCCGGAATTTCAGCGAGGTACAGATTCTGGGAAGTGATGCGAGGAGTGTCACGTACAAAGGGACTCTGTTGCGCGGCGGCAGCGTGGCGGTGAAGCGGTTCTCGGAGAAGTTCTTGGCTTCCGGCGGATTCGACCGGCAGCGGTTGCACAGGAAAATCAAAGCCGCCGGAAAGATCCGGCACCCAAATCTGGTTCCCATCAGAGGGTGGTGCTTCGATGACAAAGAAACAACCGTGGTCTACGATTACATCCCCAACGGAAGCCTGGATAGATGGCTGTTCGGCGGCGGGGTTTTGCCGTGGACGCGGCGGCTGAAGGTGGTGAAAGACGTGGCGGAGGCGCTGAGTTACCTCCACTCGAAAGAACTCGCCCACAAGAACGTGAAAGCCAGCAGCGTTTTCCTCGACGTCAGCATCAGAGCGGCGGTGGGCGACTACGGGTTCGTGCTCAGCTCCGTCGAGTCGACTCGGTTCGAATCGGTGGTGAGTCAGACGGCGGACGTGTTCGAGTTCGGGGTGCTGGCGCTGGAGATTGTGTCGGGTCGGGTCAGAAAGTCCGGCCCCGGGGAACTGGATCTGCTGGACTTGGCGTGGGCATTACATGAGGAAGGCGAAAAGGAGAAATTAGTGGACCGGCGGATGGGACTGGTGGTGAACCGGGAACAGGCGGTCCGGGTCGTGGAAGTTGGGTTGGTTTGTACGTTGAATGAGAATAAAGGGCGGCCGAGCATGGAGGAAGTGGTGGAGTTTTTGAACGCTGAAAAACCGCTTCCGAAGTTGCCGCCGGTTCGACCGGTTTCGTTGTTCCCCTACAGCAGCACCACGGGGTTGTGCACTGCTCACGCATGTTCTCCGTTCAAATAATGACCGTGTGTTTTGGACGAAGAAGAAATAATTGCGTGCGAAATTGTAATTATGCGCCTTCCTCAATTATTTATTTTTTTATTTCCTTATATGTTGTTGCTTTAAATTTTTTGTGATTGATTAGAAAAAAAAAATGTAGTATTTCAGGGGTGTTGTCAATTTTTCTACGGATTTTATTTATAGACATATAAATAGTTGATGGAAGAAGTTATTTGGGCTTGAGTAGTTGGAAAATATGTTAAAATTGCATTAAATGGTTAATTTGAGTTAGAATTTTGAGTAGGGTCTCACTTCTAATTTTGATTGAATCAAAGTGGTTTTAGATTTCAAAGGGCTTGGATTAATATATGGCATGCTCATGAAAACTTTTGATATGATACTTATTATATAATCGGTGATAGATTATTAATAGACTTGGGACCGGTTCGGTTCCTAGGCAAAATATGTGGAACCGTTTGAAAATATGAAATTTGCTAACGGTTCGTTTCTTATAAATTATTTTATAGAACCATTAAGGAACCGAACCATTCTTAATGCTTCGATTCTTGTTATTTAACGGTTCCTATTCTTTTAAAACATTTCTTACAGATCACGATTAAATTTGTGCCAAAAAGACATTCAACGTTTGAAATTACAATACAAATATGTTGAACATCATTTCAAACATCAATAGTTGAGTTTAACACATAAATACATACCAAACTGCAAATTTTAGTAAATAAAATAAAACAAGATATTCACTTAATAAGCCCAAGAGAACCGATTAAAATGCAAAATAATTTTAAATAGTTAAATAACTAAACTAAAATAGTGAATGTAATATAAAAATAGATAAGTAATATACATTAAAATATATATACTAATAAGAAATATACTCCGTATAAAACTTTAATTATTATATATAACGGTTCCTTAACGGTTCCATGTACATATTTTTTTCAGGAACCGAGAACCGAACCGTTAATAAAAAAATAGGAACCGAACCGTTAACAAATAACTAATAAATTTTGGAACCGAACCGAACCGGGTCATAACGGTTCGGTCCGGTTCGGTTCTCCGGTTCTTGGTTTCAAAGTCACAGCCCTAATTATTAATCTTAGAGAGTAGAGAGAGTTACAAAGATAAAGTGATATGTACTACGTATAAATGAATTTGCAACCCTTTGCATGGTTTCCATAGGAAGTATTTATATGAAAAAAAGTGCGTTGAGCTTCCAGGTTTGGGCCTGACAGACCCATTTTAGGGGTGGACTCGGGCCGGTCGGCCCGACCCGGGACTGGCCCGGCCCGGTCACTGTTTGGCCCGGCCCGGCCCGTGGCCCGGTGGGTCCACCGGTTCGGTTTGGCCTGGCCCGGGTGCTGGGCGGTCCGGGCTCGGGCCCAGCTTTTGGTGAACCGGCCCGGCCGGTTCGGGCCTGGTTCGGGCCGGATTTTAATTTTTTTTTTGAAATTTTTTTAAGTTTTAGGTTGGATTAGGTATTTTGGGCCATTTGAGGTGGTTTGGGATGGTTTGAGGTTGAGGGGGAGGGGTAGGGGGTTAAATAGGAGAACCAAAAACCAAAAAAAAATATGTGGGCCGGTTGGCCCGGCCCGGCCTGGTTTGGCCCGGAACCGGAACCGGCCACCGGCGGTTCGGGCTCGGGCCTAGAATTTCTGAACCGCGAACCGGCCAGGCCCAGGCCCGAGTCCACCCCTACCCATTTACAATAAAAGATCAATAAATGGCTAATAAATGGTGTTTAATCTAATTTGTTCGTAAATAAATAAAGTGTACAATAATAATGTTATGTAGTAAGCATACATTTGTTCGGGCCCGATAATATTGAGATCGAGCGTCCGATTATATATACTCTATCAATAGAATGATGATACGTAGTATAATATACTTTCAGGAATAAGCTTTAGAAATCTATTCCATATTCAAATACTCCACTTTAGATTACAATACACACATCACAACAATAAAACTCTCTTGATATGACTTTTAAAACGATTCAAATTATAAATTATTCGATTCAAATACTATGTAGTACTAAGCTAGATGTTACCATGATAGAACAGACTCTTGGCTTTTCCACTAATTTGTAGAGGTCGTTTGGTAACACTGTTTTTCGGTTTATCAGATTCATTAAGGGATAAGGGTCAGTTTGGTCCTCGAAGTTGCAAAAAAGAGGTCAAATAAGTCCTTATATAGAAAATTCTGTCCGGACGTGCCATTTGAGGTGGCTTCCAGTGGAATTTTTTGATGAAATTTTTTGAGCATCTTATTCATTAAGTCTAGTTTACTCATACCAAATTTCAGATAAAAATTCAATCGGGAAGACATTCAAATGAATTCTTGAAGATAACTGTGCCGTTAAAAGCGCAGTTATCTTCAAGAATTCATTTGAATGTCTTCCCGATTGAATTTTTAGCTGAAATTTGGTATGAGTAAACTAGACTTAAGGAATAAGATGCTAAAAAAATTTCATCAAAAAATTCTACCGGGAGCCACCTCAAATGGCACGTTCGGACAGAATCTTCTATATAAGGACTTATTTGACACCTTTTTTGCAACTTCGAGTACCAAACTGACCCTTTACTCGATTCATTAACCAACTTTTTCACCAAACACGTAACTTTTGTTTTCGTGCAGTGAATTGCATGTGTAATAATAAGAAAAGGTAAGATTGAAATTACTTTTGTTGTTGTATTGACTGAAGTTATTGTAGTCTTATAGATGATCACTTTAATTATTTTTACATATAATTTTTTCTTTATTTTATTTATAAAATGTATTTTAAAAATATTTTTTTCATAAATCAGTAGAATCAGCCAATGCAGCCACTTCAGCCATAACTTCATAAATTTCAGCAGAATCAGCCGAATCAACCAATTTTCGTGTTACCAAACGGGCTCGTATGGTAATCGATCATTACATCTTTACTCAGTGATCAAACCCTATATTCAATGTGAGAGCTTGCCTTGCTAGAAGGTCTCAAAGGAGTAAAATTAGAAACAGAATGAAAGTAATACTTCAAAAGAAGCAGAAAAATGTAATAGTGGTGCATGTGCTTTAATTTATTTAATTACAAGTAAATGTATTCTCTTTTTATTCCTATGCCATTAACAAATTACATTTTCATAAGCTTCAATTTATCAAACACCCCTAAATCTTGTGCCAGAAATGTACTTTAAGTTTGAGTTGCCCCTATTTTTATTTCACATACACTAGGGATGGACGTAAAATTGAATATCCCACTGTATAAACGAGGGAGAAACAATATCAATCAAACACTCTTTTGATTTAAATTGATATAAACTAAGTTGTCAAGAAAGAACAATGATGAAAACTAGTTGATGTTTCTCCTGTTGGGTTCATGTGTCACTGTCATTTTCAATTGTTGTTGGTCTCTAGCAAATGCTGTCAATGTGTCTTTTGTGGTTGTGTTTGTCATGCATCTAGAGAAATGATGGATGATATTTCAAGAAATACGAGACCCAAGATTGAGAAGAAAAATGTGTTGTAGGATTGGCTTCGATGCCATGTTACACTTGGAGAAACACTACTTTATTATTGAATAAAAAAGTTTCTTGTATACAAAGAGATTAAAAACTTGGGGGGGAAGTCAAACAAAAATCTAAGGCTCAAATCAAGAAACAAATAACAAGAAGATTTGAAGATATATACATAAAGAAGAAATAAAAATCTATATATGATTTTTGAGACAACATGAGTAATAGAATGTTGGAATATGACATCTAAGGAGAGAAAGAGAGAACAAGAGAGAGGAAGAGAGAAAGTAGTATTGCATTAATAACAAGGTTCAATTAATTGCAACAATCCACTTATCATGTTTGCCAAAGCACAAGTTTGACTATCAAAAATTCTAAAAAAAAGTTTGATTATTAATTACTTTCATTCCTTATTAGTGAAAAAATAAAAAATTCAAAATTTAAAATAAGAGAAATTTAACATATTTTAAAAATTCAGATTTTCAAAATTTAAAATAAAATAAATTTAACATATTTTCAAAAATTAATTCATTAATAAATGAAATATACTCAAAGTACAATATGTGAATAGTGCAAAATCATCAATGTTGCATCCAAATGAGAAGAGAGGTAGTATTTTGTTTAATGGATTAGTCGTTACATCACTTCTACACTCTAAATTTCTTCTTTAATTAGCATCAATTATTTATTTTAACTATTATATCTTCATCTAGTGGTAAAGATTTACAGGTACTTAAGCTCAATTGTTTACATGGTCTAATGGTGAAATACAATACATGATGCCAATGAGGGGAGAAACCTTAACCGCTCATTACGTTTAAAAAAAAATGAATTGAGATGCAAGGGTCCACTATGGCGTCCGATGACCCACCAGTGGTGGAGGCCCAAATAATGGGGCAGGAGCATTTCTATGTCCGAGAGTAAGAACGGGCAACTAGCCCAAGCCCCAAGGTTGTGCCGGCTCGAGAAGATAGCCCATGCGAATCTAGCTCAACTCTTTACGCTAAGAGCTCGTTTGTTATGATGTAAAGTAAACATTTTGCGTGCAAAGTAAAAGGTAGTAAGTATTTTACAACGTTAATTTTAATTATTTAATGTAAGCTATAAGACATTTTTTTAAAAAGATTTACACCGTACCATGTAAAATATTTTACATGGAGAGAGGGTGGTAAACTATTTTACATACACTAATTAATACTTTATGTAGAGGGAGGGAGGGTGATTGATTGGAGAGTGCCCGCAAAAGAAAATACTTTGGCGGCAAGGAAATAAAAAATTCCTCTCCTATATTAGTATATTACACACAATCGTCAACTATTGCACAACCTCCCACTACAAAAAAAGGCGGGATGGACACGGAATTTGGCACGGACTTATCAATTTTTCGTGCCAAATAGCTCGTGCCAAAGTGTTTTTGGCACGGATTTGGCATATCCCTGCCAAAATCCCTGTCAATCCCGTGTTTTTTTTAGTGCTATCTTCTGCGGTTCCCTGTTCTCCAGTTTGCAAGAGGTAAGACTGCAACTCTTTTTTTTTAGTTAATCGGCGTGTTTATTTGACATGATTTGTAGTGCCTAGAAATTGAAGTTGTGTAATTTTATTTCGAAAGAGATGATTAAATTATGTTTGGAGTTTATCTAAGAAAGTGGGTTTGAGAGTAAGAAAGTGGTTTATTTTTGTGTGTAATTTTTACACGTAAAGTTATTTTCCAAACAAACGACGTAAATAGTTAGCGTGTAATTTAAAAGTAGATTACAAATATAGTTAAACGATGTATTTCTATTTTACATGCAAACCAATCGTTGTCCTAAACTTTACATGC